TCTCACTGACTCTGTGATTCATGTTCTTTCCACTGTCCAAATTCTTCCTTCTGAACTTGTTTAATTCAGCAGGTCAGTCCCAAGAGAAGAATGTGGGCATTCTGTGCCAGCTTAGGCTGGAACTTCAAGACCAGAGTCCTAATACCTGTCTCAGAATGAGAACTGAGGGTTTATTAGAGCTTTCAGAAGTTTGCTCCCTCTCTGCTTCCTCTAGGAAGTCTGTCCTGACTCCCTCAGGCTGGGTTAGGCCAACACTTCTAGATTCCCAGCACACTACTCCATATCCCACCCTTCTGCAGGATCCATCCCAGGACCTAGCAAGCGGAGTCTTCATGAACAAACTAAGATGTACTATTGAAGCTGACAGTCTCTAAATTTAACATTTAAAACTTGGTAGGATATTACAGGATCTATGACTCTGTCTCCCCTTTCTCTTTATTGTTTAGTTCCTCTAAATAGTTCCCTAAATTCCAAAGTAAGCCCCAACTTTCCCATTCCCCAGGCACCTGAGTGGCTCTGTTCCTCTGTGGCCTAAGCTGAGTCATCCCTAGAGATTGGCATTGTTGCCAAGGCCTCTCTGTGCAGTGAGATAAAACGCAGTCCCTCTGTCATAAAATACTCTGGGCTTCTGCAGGATGTGGGGCAACAGAACAACCTGGACCAACAGACAGAGTGAGTAACCTGGGGTTCCATACACCACTCTCCCCACTTCACAGATGGGTAGCTGCCAGCTCCTCAGCCCCAGATGGAGATATCAGTGGGAAACTTCTGGAAATAAGGGAGAAAAGTAATCATTCTTGTATAACAAGGGAGAGTAGTCACATCACCTGCTTGAAGAAGGTCAGGGGAGGGCCTCCCCGGTGGCGCAGCGGTTGAGCGCTGGGTTGCGAAGCTGCCTGCAGCCTCTGCAGCGCCGGTTCGATCCCCGGCTGCTCCCCGGCCACCGGCGGAGGGTCCCACATGGCGCGCAGACCTCTCCTGCCGCCCGCTGCTCCCCTCAGCAGTGTACCTCGGTCCTTCTGCCTGCTCTGCTCCCCGCTCTGGCTCTGGTGAATTCTCTCACCCTCCTGCGCTTCTGACTGTACCCAGTGCATGTATAAACGCAACAAACAAAACAAACAAATAAATACATAAATAAAAAGCATGCCTCTATAAAAAAAAAAAAAAAAAAAAAAAAAAAAAAAGAAGGTCAGGGGAGGTTGCCTTCTTGAGATTCAGGAAGTTTACATCTCAGAGATGAATTGGAATCTGAGACCCCAATTTCAGGGGGAAATGTCTCTAACACTCTTTCAAGAGATGAGCGGTGTGTCCAATTATCTTCCCACCTGCCATTCTGAGGTCATCTGAGCACTGAGCACAATCTGAGTTCTACAACTCAGCTGTCTTTGACGGGCATTTCTCCAGAAGGAATTCCTTGCCATGCTCATCTGAAATGCTCAACACACCAAGTTCCTCACAGTGGCCATCTTGAAGCATAGAACAAACCATATTGCTAGAACTCTGTGAGTAAAGTGGGGGAGAGAGCTGGACTTCCCTCCTCTCAATTCCCTTGTTTTAATACTATCCATCTTTCATTTCTTTCTGGCATTCTGAGTCCAGAAACTTGCTGGTAGGATTTTTCCAGAACTATCTTCTGCAATAGTGGAAGGTATGGGAGAAAGAATCTTATAGCTACTCCTTATAAAATCATCCTGTTTTCAATTCCAGTATCCACTCTTGCCCTTATCAGCGCTACCTAAATCCTTAGTCACGTTGAAATGGATTTGTGACGTAACTTCTCTACAAGCTTAATCTTCTGTTTCTGCCTGTTTCTTATAATTCTTCCTATTTTTATCCATCAATGATAATATCATTGACATCCTTTATATTTCAACCTGTTCTTCTGTCACTGAGAGGTAATATTTTTAATTATATTTAAAAGAGATTTTTGAGAAAGCAAGAAAAATGCTGTGTACAAGTCCTGTGTTTAACTGGAAAACATCCCATTAAATATTATCACATATTGATTATGAGGGAAAGCTATTGAATTACTCATCTTTAATCATGAAAAAAGTTCAAAAATACTCAAAACTAAAGATGGGACAAAGTTGATTTCTATATTTCCATATCTCACTGCCAGTATTCTCAGCTCAGAGCCATTCTCACTGCTAATATCCTCTCAATTCCTGCCACAAATATCCCCTATGCCCTGAATTATTTGGAAGTGAACTTAAGTTCTTAAAATAATTTCAGATCCTCTCTAGCTCCAACCGTGTTGCTGGAAAAAAAAAAACAATTTCAGATCCTAAAACAAAAATAATATTATAATCACATCAAAATATTATAATCACACCAGGGAGAATTCAACCAGTATTCATATTTTCCTAGTTATCTTGCAGCAGAATTTTTATTCACTAGTTTGTTTACCTTTACATTTGGTTTGCTGAAAACAAGGTTATAACAAAGTTCATCCATTGCACTTGATTGATATGAGTCAAACATCTTTAATCTATTTTTTCCACCTTTCTTCTTTTGTTTTCTTATTTATTTGTGGAAAAATAGGAATTTTGCTCTGTTAAGTTCTTTGTTTTAATTTGAATTTTACTCACTGTGTCCTTTGGTGTCTTTTAACGTATCTTTGTGTCTGTTAGTTCCAATATTTTCATAAATTGGTAGTCTGATAGGAGCCAGTTTTGTTACTTTGCTAAAATATCTAGTTTTTCCTCATTTGTGCAATTATCAGAACTTGTTGATTTTTTGCCTCTATTTCACTGAGTTTATTAAAAAATGATACTTTAATTCTGTATTATTAGCAAGAACACTTCTGTAAAGAAAAACTTTCTTTCAACATTTTTTTTCTTATTTATACCATGCAGCAATCTGTAGAAAAAAAGCAAGTTATTTGCTGGGTCTTAGAATACTGGATACCTACTTAGTCTTGCTGACCAGTGAGATCGCTCTCTCTTTCTCTCTCTCTCTCTCTCTCTCTCTCTCTCTCTCTCTCTCTCTCTCTCTCTCAATCTCTCTCTCTCACACAAAATATGTGCCAGTTCATGAAGTTACTATTCTTACTGATACACAGTTAATCCATATTTGGCTAGTGGGATCCTCTTTGAGTTGACTTCCTTGTTCTTCTCAAATAATTTCAGTTTTCTTTGGTCTCTGTTTTCTTACATCAAAAATTATCCAAGCTGGGGTCCTCCCTGGTGGCACAGGAGTTAAGTCTCCATGCTATCAAGCTATCACCAGCCACTGAGGCATGAGTTCTATCGCTGCCGGGGAGGTAACCCACATGGGCCCAACAGATCTCTCCTGTCTCACCTGCTGCTCCCCTCAGTGGAGCATCTCAGTGGAGGATCTCAGTGGATCCACCTGTTCTGCTCCCCACTTTGTCTCTGGTGAATCTTCTCATTCCCCACACCTCTGGCCTACACCCCAGTTCTTGAATGCATAAATAAATAAACCTCAAAAAAATTATCCAAGCTCATTTTATATGCCCAAAGTTAGAAATCAGCCATTTATCAAAAAGTACATGGTTACTTTCAAGGGACATTGGCATTTAGAGACTAAATCTAAGCATTCAAAGTGTTCTTTGTTGCTGAGTTATTCTTGCATAGTCATTCTCTGTGACCATTCATAAGCTGAGAAAGCTGCATTATGTAAGGAGAAATCTTTCTTGAGTTTATTTTGATATTCTTAACTCAGCTTTATAATTACAGCATTTTTATTCACTCATTTGATTTTAGCTACATCTCCTTTGGTCTTGGTTCCAAAAGTCATTAAAATAGTTAATAATTAAAATGATAACTATCCTATGATAATAGCCTACCATGAAGTAATTATTATTACTTATTAAATAATAGCTTACCAAAAAGTAATATGATTACCAATTTATGAGAATATTGGTGCTAACAGACACACAGACTGTTAAAAGACACCAAGGGATACAGTGAGCAAAATTCAAATTAAATCATAAGAACGAGACCACCTCATTGTGCTTTTTACTGGCATCTCTTATTAAAAATGGTGGTGAATATTTTTTCATGTACCTATTGACTTTCTATATATGCTCTTTGATGAATTTTATGTTTGGATCTGTGACCCATTTATGAATGGGGTTCTTTGTTTTTAATTGTTAAATGTATATATTTTAAAATATCTTGGATATTAACCTTCTGTCCATTGTGCAATGTGTAAATATTTTCTCTCATTCAGTAGAATGTCTTTATAATCTACTTATATTTTCTTTCACAGGATAAAACGTTTTAATATGAGGTGATCCTGATTGTTTGTTTTGCTTTTATTTCTCTTGTCATAAGGTATAGTCTCCAAAAACCTCTTTATGATTGAATAATGAATGAATCATCAGAGTTTTCTTCTCTTTGTTTTATTGTTGCAGTTCTTATATCCATGTCTTTGATCCACTTTGAGCCTATTTTTGTGGATGGAGTTAGGGAGTGAGTCAACTTAATTCTTTTAACTGTGACCATCCAATTTTCCCAAAACCATCTGTTATGTGTTCTTTCTATTGTACAGTCCTGGCTCGTTTATTATGAATTAAGTACTGATATATATGTGCATTTTTTCTGACCTTTTCATTCTGTTCCATTGATCCATGTGTCTATATTTTTGCCAATACTTCACTATTTTAAATACTATTGGTTTATAGTATACTTTAAAGGCAACTAACAAGACACCTCCTCTTTTCTCCCTTTTTCCTCAGTATTGCATTTTGCTATCCTTCAGAAAACATTGCTTTCTTCAATGTGTGAGGTTATCAGTGCTTCATATTACCAAGTGATATTTCTGCAGTCAATATGTTTAATTTTATGTATTCTACTTTACTTTCAGCTAGAATGTATTTTCAAATCTCATTCACATTTTACCTCTGCAATATTTTCTGAATAAAAGTCATATAACATCAGAGCTGATTTTTTTCTAAAAATTTTATTTTTCTTCTTAATTTTCTGCCCAGATTGAAGAGGTCACATCTTCCTGGACACCTCAACTGCTCTCTGAGGATGCTTCCCTCCCAGACCTATGTCAACATCTCCTTCTTCCAGCCACCTGCTTTCCTATTGATAGGCATCCCAGGACTGGAGGCAGTACATGGCTGGATCTCTATCCCCTTCTCCTCCATGTACACCGTGGCCCTCACTGGAAATTGCCTGATCATGCTGGCTGTAAAGAGAACTCCCAGCCTACACCAGCCCATGTACTACTTCCTGTCCATGCTGGCCCTCACCGATGTGGGCCTCACCTTGTCCACACTGCCCACCACTCTGGGTGTGCTCTGGTTCGACTATCGGCTCATTGGCTTCAATGCCTTCCTGGTTCAGATGTTCTTCCTCCACTCATTTTCTGTGGTCGAGTCCTCAGTACTATTAGCCATGTCATTTGACCGCTTTGTGGCCGTCTCCAACCCCCTGCGATATGCAACTATTCTCACAAATAGTGTCATCATCAGGATTGGATTGGCCATTGTGGCTCGAGCAACTGTGTCCCTCTTTCCAGGACCCTTCTTGCTGAAACGACTAAACTTTTGCCCTGGCAAGATCCTCCTGTCCCATTCATTCTGTTTCCATGCAGATATCATGAAGCGAGCCTGTGCTGACATTATTGTCAACATTCTTTATGGGCTCTATGTAGTCCTTTCCACAGTGGGTGTAGACTCTTTGCTTATTGTCTTGTCCTATACCCTTATTCTTCATACAGTGATGGGTCTGGCCTCTCCCAGGGAGCGTATCCGGGCCCTCAATACATGTGTGTCTCATATCTTAGCTGTTCTCGTTTTCTACATCCCAGTCATAGGTGTGTCCATGATCCACCGTTTTGGGAAGCACCTGCCCCCTATTGTGCATGCCCTAGTTGCCTATGTTTACCTGATGGTGCCCCCTGTGCTCAACCCCATCATCTACAGTGTGAAGTCCAAGCCCATCAGGGAGGCCATGTTCAGAGTACTGAGGGAGAAGAAACAAGAGTGATAAAGTGAAAATGTCTGTCATAGAACTTGAGGGCAAGTATGATCAAACTGTCATATCTTGTGTCCAGAAAGCCCAGATTCAGAACCCTGATGCAGACCATTAACAAGAGTATGACAATTAATTCGGTACCTTTAGACTGGATTCTTCTCTGCACTCATTAGCTTCCACTATTTTATTCAGTGTTTCCTTGTACCAGAATGTGTACCCATTACTGGAAATAGTAAAATGAACCATATGTGGTCTCTTAAATGTTCTGGAGTACATAGACCTCCAAAGACACAACTATAACAAAGTATAGTGGGGCTGTGATAGGTACAACAATTTACTATAGGAAGCTAGAAGAAGTTCGCTACCTTGACACTAGAAAAAGACAGAGGAGTCAGGTAAGAAGAAGACTGGAAGGAAAGTAGGAAAGTAAGACATTTCTTGCAATGGGCCTCCCTGGTGGCTCAGCGGTTGAGCGCTGGGTTGCAAAGCTGCCCGCAGCCTCTGCAGCGCCGGTTCCCCTGCTGCTCCCCGGCCACAAGAGGAGGGTCCCACATGGCGCTGGCGCGCAGACCTCTCCTGCCGCCCGCTGCTCCCCTCAGCAGTGTACTTCGGTCCTTCTGCCTGCTCTGCTCCCCGCTCTGGCTCTGATGAATTCTCTCACCCTCCGGCGCTTCTGACTGTACCCAGTGCTTGTATAAATAAATAAATAAATCTTTAAAAAAAAAAAAAAAAGACATTTATTGCAAAGGAAGAGCATAACATAACTTTTTTTTACAAGAATGTGAAAAAAACACACAAATATGAGGTTAGAATAAATCGCTGTCCCTCTGGAAAGGTGATTCATCAGATGGGACTTTGCATTCTGTGTGATGGTGTGAGAACTGCAGGACATTAGCAGGAACTGATGGGCAGTGGTGAGACTTCCTGGGCCCTTTCAGAAGAGATTAAAATATTTGATCTTCATCCTTTGTTTAAAACAAAATCAGCCATAGAAAGGCTACTCCACTGTAAGACTTGCCTAGAAATACACTCACACATATATGGCCAATTAAATTACAATAAATGAGACAAGAATATACAATGTGGAAAATCTCTTTAATACATAATATTGGGAAATCTGGACAGACACATGCAAAAAGAAGGAAATTGGACCACAATCTCACACCATTTGTAAAAGTTAACCAAAAATCATAAAAATTAGAATGTGAGAACTGAAACCACTAATTACACATGTATCAAAATGTTTTTGGGACACTCTACTCTGTTTCATTGAACTACATGTCTGTTTTTTAGCCAACACCGTAATGTTTGGACTACTATAGCCTTATAGGAATCATGAGCCCTCCAGCTTTTTCCTTTTTTCTCAGGAGTGTTTTGGCTATTCAGGATCTTATGTGGTTCCATACAAACTTATGGTTGTTTGTTCTATTTCTGTGAAAAATGACAGTAAAATTTTGATAGAGATTGCATTGAATTTATAGATTTCTTTAGGAAGTGTAGACATTTCCATTTTTACAACCAGTAATTTCACTTCTAGATATATATCTGAAGATCAAAAAAAAAACCTCAAAAAGATATATGCATCTCCAAATTCATTAAAACAATATTTACAACAAACAAGATACAGAAACCACCCAAATATCCATCAATGTATGGATGGATACTCATACAATGGAAAATAAGTGTTTAAAAAAATGAAAAGAAAATCCTTTAATTTGCTGAAGAAAACATTTGGCATTTAGGGATAAGTATATTACTTTGATTGTGATGATAGTTTCAATAGCATATTCATATGTCCAAGCTAAATATGTACGGTTATTTTGTATAGCAAATATAACTCAATATGTTGTTATTCATATTCATAGACACACAAACAAATATATATATATGCATCTGTGAGTCAATGCTCCCCTACATTTTCTAGTTTATTTTACTTTATCAAAAAGCAAAGAGCCCATGGCGAAGGAACAGAAAATCAAGGAAAATTTCCTAGGTCAAGGACATTCCCATCTCTCAGAATTTAAAAACAGAGATGGAGGAGTTGCTAGCCGACATGTCTCCCTCCTCTGCTCTCCCTGCTTTAGGGGACTTCATCCCCCATCTGTCACTTGATACATACTTGCTATGGAATAGAATGGTGTTTTCCAATGTCTTTTGAGGAAGTGGGGCTGAACAACTCCAGAGGCAAGAGGAAAAATATCAGTGAACCAGAGCCCATGAAAGGCTGGCGTGTAGTGGGGCCAGAAGTGGCAGATCTGATGACTGAAGTGCACTGCAAAGAAACAGCAGCGCCTGAGCAACCTCCTGCACATGTGGTAGAATAAACAAACCTGAAAGATGATGGTTCCAGCCTCTCCTCCCCAATTCAGTTGCTCAAATACCCCATTTTATTGTAACTCTGTTGGAACACATATGCCCTAGACACTTCCCATTGCCCAGGGAAAGCTCAGCAGAGACTCTTTTATGTAGACTGTGGTCTGTGACCTGCACATCCCCTGGGGAGCGCCAACTCAGTAAGCCATCCAGCCTGTGGTATAAAGACAGCAGTTTTCAGCTGCACAGCTTTCCTGGGTTCCCTCAGGATGTGCAGACATAGTGAAGACTATAACAGCAAGCCGGGTGAATAACGTGGGGCCCAGACACAATTCTAAGAAAAGCATTTAGAACAGAGGTGAAATTAAAAAAAAAAAAATGCTCACTTTAGCCTTTGGTTTACAAACAACTTGACTTTTTCTTTTTAAAAAAAAGTTGTTTAAAATATTTTGGCCCTTTATTGTCCTGGATATAATTACAGAAGACCAAACCTTGTCTTGTATCAGGCTTCAGTGATTTAAGCTACTGCTTTTGAACTGTGAAGGGGCCAGGAATCATGCCAAAAGAACTGGGCAACTAAGACATCTGAATGAAAGAACAGAAATACTGTCCTTTCCCCACAGAGATTCCCTTCCCAATGTCAGACCCTCTCAGACCTGAAATATTCACAAAACACAAAAAGGGATAGAAAGGCCATTGCCTGGGCTTCAAGATACACTTGAGAGTTGGTCCTTATTTTTGGCAATCGTCTTAAATGATACCAAATAATTTTACCCTTGTGAGTGCTAAGGTATGTTTAGCATACCTTGGCATTTGAATCCTTTTCCCAGAGACCAAAACAATACATCAGGAAACTGTCAGAGTTGTAAAGGACCTGTGTGTCAACTATGAGACAAAAGCAAATCTAAGGCAAGGATGGAAGGCTTATAAGTAACCCAATAATAGAGAAATCAATGCAGGATGAAAGAAATAAAGTGGTGACATTTATCCCAAGGAAAAGTAATCCTCAGGATTTCCAAGATAAATGGAGAGCGCAGAAATTTTCTTCATTTTTTTAAAATCATTTTTTGTCCTTTTTTTCTCCCATCAGCATCTCTCATCCCCCTTTTTGATCCTTTCTCCATCTCTCCAACCTTTTAAATTCACTTCCTTTCTTAGTGTCTGTTAATTTTTGTGGAGTTTTTTGTTTTTTGGTTTGTTTTTTTTTTTTTTTGCTATTGTTGAATTATCCACTATGTAAGTGTTCAATTTGTCTTAGTCAATCTGACTTGTTTTCTTGCATTCTGACACATAATTCTGTGGAACTACTTCTATTTTGCAGTAAATGGCAGCATTTCACCTTTCTGTTTGGCTGAATAATATTCTATTGTGTGGATATACTACGACTTCTTAAACCAGTCCTCTATCAGTAAGCACTTAAGTTGTTCCCACGTCTTGGCTATTGCAAATAATGCTGCAATAAACAATGAAGAGCATGTGTTTGAGTTGGTGGTTTCATGTATCTGGATAAATGCCCAAGAGTGAGAAGGCTGGGTCATACAGCATTTCCCTTTTTAGTTTTTTAAGGTAAATCTGATCACTTCCTGCTCAAGAATGACACTTCCTGCTCAAGAATGGCCTCCCTCTGGCCTTGTACCTGAGATAATAATATTAACTTCACTGTCTTCTGCCTCCCCTCTTAAAGGTCAGTGTCCCTAGGCCAGGGACATCTTCATTTCACAATCAGCCCAAAGAGACTACTCAGGCAGCTCCTTCCTCACTGGCAGGACAATGGTACATTCACTTAAGATGCTTCATCAGGGGCCTCTCTAGTGGCTCAAGGGGTTGAGCACTGCACTATGGGGCAATCCACAGCCTCTGCAGCACGAGTTTGATCCCCAGCCAGCCAGGGAGCAACCCACATGGTGCAGCAGACCTCTCCTGTCTCGCCCACTGCTCCCCTCAGCAGTGTATTTCAGTCAGTCTGCCTGTTCTGCTCCCCACTCTGTCTCTGATGAATCCTCTCACCCCCCGCATCTCTGGCCTGTACCCTAGCTCTTGTATGCATAAATAAATAAATCTTTAAAAATCAAATATCTCCTTGAGATCCTGATATCAATTCTTTGCTTACAATTTGGAAGAATTAATATTGTGAAAATGTCCACTTTATTCAAAGAAATCTACAGATTAAATGGGCTCTCTATCATGATTTCACTGTCTTTTTTCACAAAAAGAAAAGAAAATGTCCTAAAATTGATATGGATCTACAAAAGAGCCAGAATAGCTAAAGCAATCTTGAAAAGAAAAAGTTGAGGACATCAGGGCCTCTAATTTCAAACTATATTACAAATCTCTATGATCAAAGCAAATTTATTGGCAATAAAATCAGGTACATAGAGCAATGAAACAAAAGGGAAAGCCCAGTGATCGTATATTATTCTCCCCCTCTCTCTCTCTCTCTCTCTCTCTCTCTCTCTCTTTCTACCCCCCACCCCTAATGACAGGGCATTCCTGGGAAATGGGCTGATCTGCCACACAGTCCAAAGTGACCAAAAGCAGGACTGACTACTTTCTGCCCCTAGTTCTGCTGGCCTCCACTCACCCAGGCCTAGCAGACTTTGTACCTCTTGCAATTTTCATCTTCTGAATTCCAGTCAATATTAAATCTCAAAATTGATAAGAAAATTAAATAAGGAAAAGTATCAACAATGGCCTGTGAAAACTGTCAGAGCAGATCCCATTATCTTCCATTAATGTAGGTAAATGTAGAGTTTTCTTGGTTTTACTTCTAATCCTCCTTTTTCAAACTGGTGTTTCAGAAAAAAAGAGATGTTAAATTCTCTGTGGGAGTCATTCTGAAGAAGAAAATCCACATAGATCTCTTTTTCAGAGATCCAGTATGGATTCTGGAAAGTTTTAAGCCAAATTATTTGATTATATTGTAATCTTATGTTTGTTTTACTTATGCCATGTTTAAGCATTTGGTGAATGTTCTTTAGATGAACCCTCACAACACCCCCCACCCCATATCTCCAATTGCTGTGACTGTTAGTACAAGCAATTTAGAGATTTGGGGATGAAGAGTTAAATGGGAAGAATCCCTCCAACTCAGCCACCTCAGGGCTTTAATAATTATATATGGTGTGAAGAACTACAGAGAAAAATAATATTGAAAAATGGGAATTGAGAATAGGCCATTTCTGCTACCCCTACCCACATGAAGACTTTGCTCACAGTTTCATCTTTGAAGGATCAGTTGCGCATTTGTTAAAGATATTTTTCCTATTATTGTCTTCCAAAATGTTGATATTAAGGTCTGAATTGAAGCACTTTGAAGGAAAAGGGAGTTTAATCACTGACACCTATGGATCTGAAGTGTGGGTGGTCACGTGGAAAAGACGAAGGATGCGCTGCCGGATCTGCTTTGTCTTCACTCCATAGACAATAGGGTTGAGCACAGGAGGGACGAGCAGATAGACATTGGCCATGATGACGGGCAAGAGGGAATCGTGCCGTTTACCAAAGCGGTGCACCATAGACAACCCAATGAAAGGAACGTAGAATATGAAAACAGCACACACATGAGAGACACATGTGCCAAATGCCTTTGCCTGGGCTTCACGGGTCAAACCCAGCACAGTCTTGAGGATAAGCAGGTATGACACAGAGATGAGCAGTGAGTCCAGGCCGATGGCAGAGATGATGACAATGAGGCCATAGATGATATTGACACGGATGTCAGCACAAGCCAACTTCATGACATCTTGATGAAGGCAATAAGAATGGGAAAGGACATTGGAGCGGCAGAAAGGAAGTCGTTTGATGAATACAGGCAGGGGTGCCATAAGTGCAGCACCCCGGAGCACAGCAGCCATGCCAATCTTGGTAACACGAGGCAACGTTAGCACAGTGGCATGGTGTAGTGGGTGGCAGATGGCCACATAGCGGTCAAAGGCCATGGCCAGCAGTACCGTGGACTCCATGCCAGATAAGGAGTGGATGGCAAACATCTGCAGCAGACATGCATCAAACTGGATGGTAGTGGAGTTGAACCAGAAGATAGCCATCATTTTGGGCATGGATGAGGTGGAGATGAGGACATCAAGGCCAGAAAGCATGCAAAGGAAGATATACATGGGCTCATGTAGGCTGTGCTCAGTCCGCACAATGTAGATGATTGTCAAGTTACCAAGCACAGCAATAAGGTAGAGGGAGCACAGTGGGAATGCCAACCAGAACTGAGCCTCTTCCAAGCCTGGGAGGCCTATTAGAATGAAATATGTGGCACTGGATCCATTGTCATTGGGGCCCACCATGGTGAAGAAGCTGAGCACAACTAGTGACAGGCAGGTAGAGGCTGGAATGCAAACAAAAGCCATTGTCAGGTCCTCCAGAATCCCCATACCATGTTTTCCCCTTTACCCTGATGTCCTATTTTCTGACCCAAATTCTTTTTTCTATTATTTATTTATTTATTTATTTATTACATCTTTGTTCGTTTTTAAATAATATTTGCTTCCCCCGCCCCCTCCGATGTAGTACCCATAGAATTTCCTCCACCAATGCACCCATGCACCATCACTCAGTCCTGTGTACAACTCCCTCCCGCTGATCCTTCACCCTCCCCTTCCCCTGCAGGATGTCTCTAGTTTATAATTATTTGTTTGTTTTTGTTTTGTTTTGTTGTGTTGTGTTTTGTATTGTTATTATTTTTCCCCTGATACCTTATTTGGTTCCCCTATATTCCTCCTATAAGTGAAACCGTGTGATATTTTTCTTTTTCTTCTGACTTATTTCACTGAACATAGTTCCTTCTAGGTCCATCCATATTGCTGCGAATGGCATGAGTTTATCTTTTTGATTGACCCAAATTCTAATGTGAGTGCTTATCTAAACTCTGATTCTATTCTAAAGTCAGATTCTATTTTAAACTCGGATTCTATCCTAAATTCAAGCTAACCATTCTTCATAACTCAAATGAGCATTCACCCAGTTCTACTTATTAACCCAACCTCTAAAGAAAATCCTGAAAACAAGTAAAATACTAAAGTAAAAATTCTAATTGTATTTTAAATCATTAATTTCATCAAAGATAAGTTACTGAGTACACATTAGATTTAGATAATAAAAACTTCCGTCACTTCTATCCTGTCCTTCACCTCTACAGTCCACATATCTTCTAATTAAATAAACTCAGGTCACTCTCTATTATTTTTTAAAATGCCTTGAAAGCTCCAAATTAATTCTAGAATAAAGACTAAATTATTACAAAATGGCAAAATGTCTTTCTTTTTCTGCATCTGGCCCTCATTTCTCTCTGGCCTCTCCCCACCGTGACCTCTATGCTCTAGTCACATTGGAAATCCTGCCAAGGTTAAAGGCTTAAATTATTCTCAGACCCTAGCACACAAAAGAAAATAAAATTTAAAACTTACCTAAATTTCTTTTTGAGGCTTGCTTTTGTAGACAATAGAGCCTGGAAGGTCACAGCATACGACTTAGCCTGAGCAGGCACAGAATAAAATAACTTTGTTTTCAGCCAAAACAGAGGAAGGGAGCTACCCAGAGGCAGGAGACCCACCAACAGAAGTTTAAAGTTCCATTGATCTGGGGGGGAAAAAAAAAGCCTCTTCATAGTTCCCTGTGTATCGTCCACCCTATGATAGCCCATGAATTTCAGCCAAACCTACATTTCTACAAACCTACCTGCCACTCACCCACTCCTCAGTCAAAACTTAAGTCCACTGTTCTCAACCCCACTCCCCAAACCAAGATAAACCCCTTCCCCTACCCAGATGAGGAGGCAAACTTGAGTTTGCAACTTCCCACCGTGCAAAATCTTATCTTTCACGTCCTGATTCACTGTTTCGGCCCTGAACTATTTTCCTAGGCCTCTTTCCCCAGGGTATAATTAAATGTTTCCTGCTCTGAATTGTCAAAGAACTTTGCTTAGGTCTCTTTTATGCTTTTATAGTCATGAATTATAATTATTGCTATATTTATACCTGAATTATGAATTCCTTAATGGCAGGAAATGTAAAATATTTATTAATTAGTTTTGAGCAAATGTTTATTGAAAACGAAAATGAGTTTTGTGAAAAGAAGAATCTCTCAATAGGTCTCGAATGAAAATAGCACAGCAAGGAAGGACTGTCAGTTGTCTGAACTATAAAGACTTTTGAGAAGAATGAAAGAATGTTTTGAAAGGCCAGTGCAGGGTGGTCTTCATTTCAGAACAAGAATCTTTGAGTCAAACAGAAAAGGCCTTTCTTAGCCAGGTTGCCCGCAGGCACGCAAGGAGTGCCTGGCAGGTGGCTCTAAATGAATACAAAGCGAAACTGCAGCAGAGTTTATGCCCACAAGGGGGAAACACCTAGGATTCCTAACCAGCAAACATCACCAAGAAGGTGCTGATAATCCAGAGGATCAATGATAAAATTACCCAGAGATTTCATATCAGCAGGCATGGTAGAATACAACAATTCCCAGATTAAAATGTGCTCCCTTTGGAAACACCTTGGGAAAAATGATAAATCAACATATTCAACCCTATATCTCTGAGGGTATAGTGTGGTGGTCAGCTGAGATAGGAAGGCAAGCCCTGGAGTTAGGAAGGCAAGCCCTGGTTCTAAATAAAGTAGAGGATAATAACAAGAGCATAGTGCTGTTGTGAAAGTAAATGAGCTAAGGATTATCAAAAGACATTGTAAAAACTGCATCATAGCATTTTCTTCATGTTTCCATAAAAATGAGGAACAGTTTTCTGAAGGTGTCCGAAGTTTTCAAACACTTTTCACCACCAGCCCCCATTTGTCAGCTTAATTGTCACTTCGCTTCATGCACACACTCACACACCTACCGATTGGCAGTCAGTTTCAAATAATAGCACAGAGTAAGCACCGTATGGAGAAACTAGAAATCAAAGAGAGGAAGAGTCAACCAACTTGGAAGGGAAGTGGCTCAGCAGCAGAAAGGAATTTGAGTGGCCCAGCCGTTAGTAATTAGAACCTTAGGAACCCTAGAAGAAATTGGAGCTAAATTGCTCTTTTGAAAATAAAATACAGTTGAGGAAAAGTGAAAAAAGTTTGTTCTTTTTTGCTTTCTTAAAGAGCCCACTCTATTACTCAGAAAATAGCCCCATGCTTTCAATTTTCTCTGAAAAAATGTTACACTAACTTTGCAAGTCTCAGGGAAGTTTCTTAGGGAACAGGGAAGAACAACTTAGCTTTTCTTGAAGATGGGGGAGCATGATGCCCATGGGCACAGAATGGAAATCCATTCTGAGGCTCTCAAGGCTCATTCCATCCCCGGCCTCCTGGACTCTACATCCAGTGCCGCCTTATTCCCCCCACTAGCCCATCCTCACCCCTTTCATGGAACTCCCTGGTAAAGCAGAAATTCAACCTGGGCTGTCTAAGTCAAAATCTTGTACCATTGTCCCGATTTTATGGCACCTTTCATTATATTGCACCTTCTGAAGCTAGTAAGACCTGCTCATGAGGCAGGAGAGAAGAAGGGCTTGGTGAGCAGAATACCTGGCCCAGGTAGACCCTTGAAGAGGAAAACAAAGGGCAGTCAGAGGTCCTCCCTGGACTGGGCCTGTACATGCTCCTCTCAGCCCAAAATCCCCTGGCTATGACTTGGGCAGACCCCCAATGGAGATTTCAAAGCTTCATCCTCTACCGACTATTCATTTCTTACATGTTTAGAGACTCATCCAACTGTCAGGCAAGCATGATAGAAGGGTGTTGAGGATTTGAATTCTCAGTGTCAAATCTATGCACTTTCCAATATGCCAACCAACTGCCCTGTCCCTCTTCCCAAAGACTATTTCAAAGTTAATCTCTAAGGAATCCAAAATTTGAGGACCCAGGAATCCAGAGGGCCTCTCCAGGACACACCTGACCAGCTCTCCCTATTTAGGTTCTGTGGGGAAGGGAAACAAAAAGAGAATGAGTGGAAATGGGTAGCCACTGCCATTACCTGACATACAGACTACTATGGAACATACACATACGCTCTGCCTAGAGCTGTAGAGAGGGGCCTCTGGTGCTGGCGCCAGCCTCTGTGGGAACATCTGGAAGAGAATGTCCTTGGAGGGAAGCCCAGAAATACCTGGGAGTCTCTGGCTCTTACTCCCAGACACAGAGAGGGAAGGCAGGCCTTGGGGACAAGGCTGTGGTTGGCAAGGACAGTCGGAGCTCATCACTGATTCCTAGAGAGGGATTTCCCTAACACTCTATGGAGGAGGTACCCCCAGAATCACATTCACACCAACTCATCTACATCCTCTGTCCGCCTAACTTGCTTGGATTTCCTAAGGCACATAAAGCCTTACAGAGCTTTAATCTTATTTTTTAGAACATCTAAGATAAAAATTGAAAACTAGAAAAAGTAATTTCTAACTCAATAAAGCAAAATGATGCTCCAAGTCCCACTCTACTCACCTAAGTTAGCCCTCCAAAATCATTTCCATGCAGAATTCCAGAGGTTCGGGTCCCTTTCCCTCTACTTCCCAAGTGGGGCCAGAGCTACTCAAAGTCCTACAGAGGTCTAGGTCAAAGCTTGAACTAGTTACCCTCCAGATCCCAGGTCCCTTCAGAGCTGCTCTGCATGTAGCTGCAGCACGGAGATGTGCTGGGGTAGAGGCAGGATCTGGGGATTTGATCAACACACTGATTTTTTTAACAACTGACTGACTTCTGTGTGCTCAGCACTGGAGACACTGAGATACAGAGTCACAAGTCACCCTCAAATGGTGGGAAGAAATTGAGACAAATAGGCAGCAGTCACAGTGTCCTGTGAAAAATGCTAGGACTAGGGGCAGCGCAAGGACCTCAGAGAGCAAAACAGACAGTGGTTCAGCAAGTTGTCACACACAGTAGAGTTCCCTGAGGAGGTAACTAAGCAGACACAGCAGCATTCAACTAGACAACAAAAACATATTAAGTGCCTACTATGTGTCTAAATCTGGAGATTAAAAAGGAAAAGATCACTGCTCTCATAGAACCCATGAACCAGGAGAGTATTACCAAAAAGTAAAGAAATAAATGCACCCAAAAATTTTCAAAGAAAGATTAGGGCACTGAAGACAAGGTAGAGGGTAGGATAGAAAAGGGCAGGGGTAGGACACCCATAGTTGAGATAGGGGATCAGTGACAGCCACTCTAAGGAGGTGATATGTGAGATGAGAACTGTGTGATAGAAAATGCCAGCAGTTAATTCCAAGGTCTAGAGAAAGAACATCCCAGGCAGAGCATACAAGAGCTAAAAGTCTTGAGGTGTGATGTGTTTGAGGGTTCAGCATAGAAAGAAGGTGACTGTGCTGGAGTATTGAGAGAACAGGAGTGGCTTAGAGGAAAAGGTCAGAGGGGAGGGCAGGGACCAGACCATGCAGTGCCTTGCAGGACATTACAAGGAGCTTTGATCTAATTCCGAGTGACTTGGAGGAATTTAAACAATAGAACTGATCTAATTTTTGTAAGTGTAAACACAAGAAGAGAGACAGCACTTGAAAAGCTACAGGGGATTCAATGTGACTGGGATTAAGTGTGCAAGGCAAGGGAGCAGCCATGTGGACATGACTCAGCTTTTTAAGTGGGTTGAAACTGAGCCCTGAGCCTAGTCACAGATTGGATCAGGGTCAGAACCCCAGGAAGACTGCTGAGACCCATTCTCCACCAAGCCTCTCTCCCTTTGCAGAATATCAAATGAGCCGCACTGCCTTCAAAGCCTGCGCCCCAAAGAAAGCAATAGTCTAACCCCTTGATCACAGACTGAGCTTTGACCACACTAACACGCTAACCACATTCAGTAATTGGTCCTGAGAAGGACCAGGACCCTAGTCAAACAAGGCCCCCAGTTCCCAGTCCCAACTACATCGTCTGCCACAGTTCCCTTTCTTTTAGGCCAATTCCTGCCAGGTCCCCGATGGGCACGCCAGTACACTGATCACTGGAATATTGCTCGAAACCTACCCATAGGCAGCCACTAACACCTCCCATGCTTTCATTCACCGGACAAACAGAGAACTTGCAAAGGCTGTCTATCTTCTGAGGCCAGACCTTCCTTCATAGCCCCCGGCTCCACCCCTGCATGGCTGGCTCTTCACCACCTGGCTTCTCACTCCTTTTGCAGGTTCGAGAAGAGTCTCCTAGCTGCAAGAAACCCACACCTGGACACAGCTGTCTCCTGCACTCACCTCAGTTTCCCTGAAGGAACCGGTGCCTTTCCTTCCAGGAAGCTTCCTGAAGAGCTCCAGCAAACTGCACCAAAGTGCAGCCTGCTCTGTCTCCGCCTCCTGCCCTGGACCTCCCTGGTCAGTTATTTATTCTGTCTTCCTTCTTCCCTCCTACTTCTCCCGGCTGGGGGAGAGGACTGCCCGGGGGTCTATTCAGCAGGTACCCCTCAATAGCCAATGGTGGGTCTGGCCTCTGTGTCCTGGGAAGGTGTGTGGGGGCAGTGGGAGGAGGGAGTGGATAGAGGGGTCTCTAGAGTCTCCCACAGATGGGCCCTGTGCCAGCTGGGATCCTCTTACCAGCTCCTAGTGTGAAGTTCGCCAGGGAAACAAGTGGAGATAAGCTGGAAGAAACTCATTTCTGTGGCCCTGGTTCCTGTGAGGGGAATTTTCTAAGTTTTTTCACCAGAATTAACAATCTCAGCCAAAGGAAAAGTAAAAGAAGCTTTCAGGGAGACGCCATGATTAAGTTTATCTCCTTCCTGAAACTC